CTGCTGGACCTGTCCTTGAAGGTCCTCCTTGTACTTGAACCTGAATCCATTGAGCATCAAACTCCCTTTCCCTCCTCCCCACCCCTCCTTGGCAGCACCTGATCTTCTGCCTCCTTCCCCCAAACCAAGCAGTCACCAAGACTGAGGGACTCGTCCCCTCCTTCCACACTAGAATATGCTTCTTCTTTTCCTTTCCCTCCACTGCTGTCCAGCCACGTCCGATATCATCTCCTCCAAAATGTCCTCCCCAAGTAGAACCCAGTTACATTCATTTGCAAAATGAAAACATACAGCCCTTTGTTCAAAAAGTATTAAGAATTTCAAGATAGTGACAGGAGATGATAAAACCAGGTGCGGTCCCTTGTAAGCACAGGTCAAACACCTATAAAGTCAGCCCCGGCCCCAGGCTTCCTTCTTATAGTCCCACAGAGACTCACTGGAACCATGTCAGTCCACCCACCTTGGATTAAAGGGTTTTACGTGCATGCCTGTTGTCCCCTGTAGACTGAGAGTTTCACATGGAAAGGAGCTCTTATCTCTGTGTGTCCCGAGTGGCGCATCACAATGCCTTGCACATTGAGTTGGTCCTCAATAAATAATACACAGCCTTGTAGCGCATTGGCAGATATTTGGATGTTGCTATTGCAAAATGAAACCAGCAGATGGCAATGTTCCCCTCCAAGCGTTGAGTTCTCATTTATCTATTTGCGGTTGAAAACTATTGCGTTCTTTAAAGATAATCTTATCTTTTTTAGGCTCTCAGGATCCCTTGGAGGTTTAGACACACAATTCTTTATACTTCCAGGAAATTTCTTTTTTTTTTTTTTTTTTTTTTTGAGACATAGCCTCAAGCTGTCCCCCTGGGCAGAGTGCCGTGGCTTCACTGCTCACAGCAACCTCCAACTCCTGGGCTCAAGCGAGTCTCCTGCCTCCGCCTCCCAAGTAGCTGGGATCACAGGCGCCCGCCACAACGCCCAGCTATTTTTTGGTTGCAGCCATTATTGTTGTTTGGCGGGTCCGGGCTGGATTCGAACCCACCACCTTAGGTGTATGTGGCTGGCGCCCTAGACGCTTGAGCCACAGGTGCCGAGCCACTTCCAGGAAATTTCTAAATACTCTAAAACCTATTTACAGATTTAATCCTCTTCACATTAGAATAATCTATTGAGATATAAAAAAATTATTAATAGATATCCAAGGTACAGTGGCAGGCACCTGTGATCCCAGCTACTTAGGAGGCTAAGGCAGGAGCATTACTTTAAGCCCAGAAGTTCAAGCCCCGCCTGGGCAACAAAGGGAGACACTTTCTGACTTCTATCCCTCCCCAGCCCCACTACCTCCACCTCTGGGGAAAAAAAAGAAAAAATAAAATAAATAAGACATCTAGGCACCTGTCTTGTTTGCAAACCCTTCCATGTGACTCTAGTGAGTAGCCAGGGTTGGGAATTGTTGCTCTAGTCCATATTTCCTCCACATTTTATAGATAGGGAAATTGAGGGTTCAAGAGAGGAGGCTAAAGTCACAGTAGGTTGATGGAAAAGGTTGTCATTGATTCAAATCCTGTACTCCTGACACCAATCTGGGAGTCTGAGGTTCTCTTAATTCTCATTCTACCATGCTGCTTGGTGTAAGTGGAGTATGAGTGGGGGAGGGGGCGAATGGGGCAGGTAGAGAGAATAAGGCCAAAATGTCTGTTCTAAAATCTCCCAGTTCACCAGCTCACATGCTGCCCGAGGTTCCATCATTAACAAGTCTCTCAGTTTAAGCACTGACTTGGGGTTTGCTTTTTTCTTTCTAATTTTTATTATGTTAAGATTTTCTGCAAAGAGAAACTCATAATCATACCCTACTCCCTCGGGAGGAAGTGGACGGCTGAGTACACAGACCCAGGAAGATGGCAACGGAGAGAGAATGGCTTTCAGGGAAGTGAAACTAATATGGCCACATTTACATACAAGTTTTTGCCAAGGGCCAGCTCTGAGAATACTCATATTTTAAAATGGCCCCCCAATCAGGCTATGTTCCAGACTCCATGGGACAAAGGCAGGCAGGGTAGCAGCCTTTGCTTTCAGAGGGCAAAGTAGTAAACTTCTGCTGTAGCTGGCTGCTTGCCAACAAGGGTGCCCCTTCATCTTTGCTATGTAAAGTTACCTAATCATAAAATTCCTTGCATCCTCCTATATTTACAGGTCCTGCCCACACGTGCGGGAATTTTTCAGGTTTTATACACCGGGGGGGCAGAAATCTTTGGGGCCATCTTGGAATTCTGCCTAGTCCCCCAAACCATATAGCACATCAGTGGCTGGAGAGATCTGGTTGGCTTGCAGGGCTTCCCATGCCCTATGCATTGTCCTGTGTCAAAGTCAGTGCTTCTGCTGCCTGAGAGGATGACCAGGTTCATGAACAAAAATGGCTCAATATTGTCCATGACACATTTTACATCCCCTGCTCAATTCTCAGAAATAACACTGTGCCAATCAGAGTTAGCCATCCAGATAAATTGACCCTTGTCCCAGGTTGACCAGTGACAAGGCAAGGCAACCAGCCTTTAAGATGGCTTCCTGAGAATCTTGCCTCCTGGTGTTCCTACCCCTTTGTAGTCTATTCACAATGAAGAGGTCTCACCTGTGTGACCAATATCACGGAAGTGACAGTGGGTGACTAGGCTAGGTCATAAAAGGTATCACAGTTCCCACCTGGCTCTCTTGGATCACATACCCTGAGTGAAGCCCACTGCTGTGTTATGAAAGCAGTCAATCAGCCTTGTATATAGGTCTATGTGGTGAGAGACTGAAGCCTCCTGCCAATATCCAGCACTGTGTTACAAAAATCAAGCCATCTTGGAAATGGAGCCTCTAGCCCCAGGCAAGCTTTCAAATGAGACTGCAGCCCTGGCTAACATTTTGACTGCAATCTCATGAGACTCTTGAGCCAAAACCACCTGGTTAAACTGCTCCTGGATTCTGACTCACAGAAACCATGTGAGATAATATTTCTCTTGGTATAAACCACTATGTTTAGGGGTAATTTTACAGAACAATAGATAACAAATACAGGGCTCTTCTGGAGCTAATATCTTACTCAAAAAGCTAGCACTGATGCTGAGAATACCACCTATTGAGCACTTACTGTGCACCAAGATCTAGCTTACTTTATTTGTTGTTCTGTCACCTGGACCAGAATACAGTAGCGTCATCATAGTTTATTGTAACCTCAAATTCTTGGGTTCAAGAGATCTTCCTGCCTCAGCCTCCCAAGCAGCTAGAACAGGTGTGTGACACCATACCCAGCTTAATTTTTCTATTTTTTAAAAAGCTAGTCAAATTTAGCAGTGGGGCGGGGGGGGGGGGGTTAATAACAACTTTAGTGACACTAATGTTAATAAGTTCTCATAACCCACTACCATCAGATCAGCCTAATTTTTCCATTTTTTGTAGAGACAGGGTCTCATTCTTGTTCAGGCTGGTCTAAAATTCCTGAGCTCGAGTTATCCTCCTGCCTCAGCTTCCCAGAATGCTAGGATTACAGGCATGAGCCGCCTCACTCAGCCTAGCTTATCTTTTTGTAGGCTGTTATAGCACAAGGCAACAGCTAGTAAAAGCTGAAATCCAAGCCCAGAGGTCCTGACTCACAGTCTCATGCCACACAGCATTGTCTAACAGAAATTTCTGCTCCGTGGAAACGTTCTATATCTGCACCATCCAATATGGTAGCCACATGTGGTTTCTGAGCACTTGAAATCAGCCTAGTGCAACTAAGGAAATGAACTTTAATTTTTAAGTTTCATCAATTTAAATAGTCACAGTGACTAGTGGATACTGTGTTGGATAATGAAGCCCTAACAGACATGAGGGCCTTCTGTAGGACACAAGTAGCAAGAAACAGAGACCCACTTGAGCCTCAAGGGACTCAGGAAAACAAAATGCAGCAGGGTCTCAGGAGAGATTTGTGCTAACATGGGATTTGAGACTAGACTCACTGCTTCTCTGAGGGAGTTTGTGGAGGCTTAGCAGCCCCCCATTAAGGGGCCTTGGGTGACATAACCCCCCCTTCCGGTAGGCAGTACAGTCGGGAGCAGGCTCCAGATCCTAACCATCTGAGTTCAAATCCCACCTCTACCACTATAGGCTGTGTAGCTTTGGGCAAGACATTTAACCTCTTGGATACAGTTTGCTGATCTGTGAAACAGGGAAACTAATGGCACTTTCTTGTGGAGTTGCAATAATTAAAGGAGTTTGGGTATAAAGTGTTAAGAATGGGTTCCTGGCTGGCTCATGGTGTGGTGTAAGGTTTTGCTACATCTTCTACCAAATCCTCTGCTTCCCTCCCCCACCCCAGCCCTGGGCAACACGGTGCCAAGGGAACACACCCAACATCAAAGACCTGGAATTAAGCCACACGTGTCATCTCGATATAGACAAGCTAGGAGCAGGTTGCCCCCTTGGTGACAAGGATCTTACCCATCTCACGGAGTAGTTATAAGGATCAAGAGATGTCCTCAGTGGTATTTCCAGAGCCTGCCAGCTACAGTGCCTGCGTAAGGCCACACAGGTGACAGGAGTACAGCCTGGCAGAGCTCACATCCCAGTGGGTACCTGACCCTTGGCAACTCCCACTTGTTGTCATGCAGGCTGACAGTTGCCAAATTTTGAGGTCTTTTTTCCCCAAGAAAAGAAAAAAAAACAGGATTTTTATGAGAAACTTCCTGATCACTATAGACAGTAATTAATTTGAGGATTTTTGTGTTTGTCTTTTAAACATGGGGCCACCTAAACAAACCAAGGAGGTAGGAGCGGTGGCACACCACCGGTGTGCGGGTCGGGACATCCACCCTTCTCTCCAGGCCCTTTCCTGCCCCTTTTTACATCTTGGCCCCCTCACCCTGCCCCATGTCCGGCACCCCATCGAGGATTTGGTCAAAGTGATTTTTCATGCTCCCCTGAGATCAAGGGCCCAGAAAGATCTGACCTGTTACAAACCAAAATGACAGAGGCAGGCAATCTAGAAAGTATCAGGTTTTATTATCTTTTTATCAAAAAAATCAGTAACAGACGACAGTGTGAGAGGTGACTACAGAAGAGGTGCTCGCTCCAATACAACCCGAGGTAAAGGGCGCTGGGGGTGGGAGGGGACCCAGCCAGCTGGGACCCTAGGTTGGGGTGGCCGTGGGAGCTGACAGCCACTGGTGCAGCAAGGGAGGGTGGTTCCCCTCACTGGCTGGAGGAGACACGGTCTGCCCAGGCTAAGCCACCACTAGGCCTCTCCTCCCTGGAGGGGGCGTCCCAGATGACAGGGCCTCATCAGCCCTCCCCCATGCACACCCAGCTCAGGTTCATCCCAACACAGCCAAGGCTGTGAGTTCCTAAGCCAGTTTAGTTCTCTAGAGCAGCACTCTCCAATAGCAGGAAATGCCCTCCGCTCAGTCAATACAGCAGCCACAAGCCACATGTGGTGACTGAGCTCTCAAAATGTGGTTAGTGCAAGTGTGGTATGAATTTTTAATTTTATGTGATTTTAATTGACTTAAATTTAAACAGCCGCATGTGGTTACTGTATTGGATAGCACAGCCCTAGAGCTTGGACAAAGCAAACCAAAGAACACCAGCTGGTTTCCCCGGCAGAAGGCAGAAAGGGTAGCGCTGTCTACCTCAACTATTCTAGCCCAATCCGGAGAAGGCACCAGAAACAGGGCAAGAGAAAAAAGAGGCAAAAACCCACCCAGCCACATGAAAATTCACTCACTCGACCACCCAGCCAACATCAAACTGGAAATATCACACTATTTCCTGAAAAAAAATATATTTATCTATTTTCCTAGAACCAAGGAAGAATAATAATATATTACAAGTACACAGACGCAAATATCCCACCATCCCCTTTCATTATATTTTGGGATCTGCTAAAAAACTTTTTCTGTCAAAGCTACTTCTTAGAGGAAGCAGCTTTAGAAAGGGCCAAGGTCATGAGCAGGGGTGTGTGAAGTATAAAAAACTTGGGGGAAGAAGTTTAATGAAAGAAAGAGGGAAGGACAGGCCCTGTCTAAAGCTATAAATAGTAAAAAATAAAAATAAAAATCATGTCTCCGGCTCTTCTCTCATTTCCAAGAAAAAGAAACAAAAAAAACCATTAAATACAAACTTAGCAGGTGCGGTGGAAATGAGCAAGAGAGGGCAGAATTTCTTAGCATCTCCGCACTCCTGCCCCGGCAGAGAGACACTCTGCACAGAGGAATGAACCATTAAAAAACAATAAACAAACAAAACAAAAACACATACAAAAAACCCTAAAAATAGATTTACAAATATTCTATAAATCCATTTCAGCATGAACTTTTAGCTCTCTCCCCCAATCCCCAAATAAAAAAGGTTGATTTCCAAAAGTCACTTAAAAGAGCCTAGAATGGCCCAAGGTATACCACAGAGACTCCCCGTAGTGTGATCCTAAGAATCCATTTACAGACACATGTCAAGGTGCAGATGGTGCTAGATCCTTCTCCCAATTCCTGGCAGAGGGACAGGCTGTGTGGGACAGGAGGCCAGGAATATGGCTGGTGGGGAGGGGGGTGGTTAAGCTCCAGCCAGGACTCACTGAATCCCCCCTACCCACCTGGCTTCAGAGGGGCTCTGGATGAGGCATGTTCAGAATAGGCTCGAAGTTGGACCTAGATTCTAAACAGTAAGTTTAGGAAATAATCCAATCCCAGGATTGCCCATTTTTCTGCCAGGCCCAACAAATCAAGGAGAGCCAGGCAGAACAGTAGAAGGTAATGTCTCTTCTGACACTTAAAAGGTAATCAATCAGAGCTGGAGATACTGACAGGTCAGTATTAGGTTGACTTCCCCCTACCCTAACGTCCACCCTTCAAAATCCTCCGGCTTCCCTCCCCCCAACGTCCAAAACCAGTGCCACGAGGAAGCTTCATGCATAGAACTCGTTGGTGGGGGCTTTTTTGTAGATGGGTTTCTTGCCCAGGTCGTAGCTGCCTTCGTCCTTCTTCTTCATGCGGTACACCAGCAGCATAATCAGGAAGACGGCAAAGAGGATGCCCACAACGCCGCCCACAATTAGAGCTGGAGAGGGAGAGAGGGCAAAGGTAGGGGTAAGAACTCCTTATCAGGACCTTGGGGGTACATTCCCCCCCCCCAGTCAGTTCTCTGACTAGGACAGTCAGACATCCTTACCATTATCACCACCTGTACCAGGCAAGTTGACACCTTATTTTTTTTTTTTTTTTTAGAGAGTCGCACTTTGTGAACCTGAGGTTTATGGCCAAGGCTGGATTTGAACCTGCCACCTCCGGCATATGGGGCTGGCGCCTTACTCCTTTGAGCCACAGGGGCCGCCCGACACCTTATTTAATTTGACCCTCCCAACCTCAATCATGAGAAGGGTGTCACCAAGCATTATAAGTCAATAAAGACCATAGGGCTAGAGTGTCAAGCCCACTATTGCAACTCGCATCTGCCTAAGTCCAAAGCCTAGGCTCTTTCCAAACACCAAGCTCACACAGCTCACACCCTACCTCCCTCAGCAACAGCTTAGCACTAACTGAGCCAGAAACAGTGAAAATGGCAGGCTCTGGAACCCACCCCCATGGATATGTCTGCCCTACGGTCCTTAGCACGGGAGCATACACACCCCTGCTGGGCTACACTTCTGTAGACAGGTACACACATTCCAGACACACATGCGGAATGTACTAATGTCCCTCTATTACGGTATTGATGGTTACACACCATGGTTTACATTCCCATAGAACCCAATGGCAAAGGCCAAGTTTCCATGCCCACTCCTCCCTCTGGCTGTGTGATTTGGGGCCAAGTTCCTTTATCTTTCTCATTGCAAAATGGAAATAAGAGAACCTTTCTCGTACATTTGTCCTAAGGAGTGAATAGACTAATTCACTGAAAGGGCTTAGAACAGCGCCTAGTGCATAGCATATTCTCAAGACTCATTAACTGTGAACATTTAAAGTTTATATCTGTGTCCCCAGCCCAATCAGGCTTGCACCACAGTAAGGGCTCAATAAATGCCCCAGGAGCTCAGGCTCATATCAGGCAGAGGTGGGCTTCTAACCTTGGGTGAGCGTCTATTCTGTCCACTTGGTCAGATGGCCTGAATGACTCATTCCTGTCCGTTAGGGGCAGAGATGTCTTGTAGAATCCTTTCTGTGGCAGATTGAGTCCCCTAATTCCGTCTTACTCAGGCTAAGAAGATTAATTTTCCATTCCTGCACACATTACAAATCTATGCACAGTGTGGGGACAGAGTGGCACAGAGGAGCCATGGAAAGTTCTTCCTTGGCTAAGATCCTATGAAAAAGCAGCAATAGGGTGAACAGAGTGCCCCAGGAGGTGCCAGGAAAAGCTCACAGAATAGCAAGCATCAACTCCATTCCCGTTGGTGTCACCTCTCCCTCTGCTGACCCCAGGTCTTCCATGAGGCCCTTGATCTGGGGCTCCCCACAGAGTCAGGGTTCAAAGCATAGGCTCAAAAGCTGACTGTGGCCTGGTCCTAATGCCAGGTCTCTCAATCACTTCCTGGCTCTGTGACTCTGGACAAGTTCTTTAGACTCAGTTCCAAGTTGTTGCAGGGACCCAACAAAGGGCACAGGAATTACATGGCACATAGCAACCACTTCAGAAAGCTCCTGGGTGCTGTTTCAGAGTTACTAGGGCTGGGTGCAGTGGCTCACTGAACCTGTCATCCTAGCACTCTGAGGCCGAGGCAGGACGATCCCTTGAGGTCAGGAGTTAGAGACAAGCCTGACCAAGAGCAAGACCCTGTCTCTACTAAAAACAGAAAAACTAGCCAGGTGTCGTGGCAGGTGCCTATAGTCCCAGCTACTTGGGAGACTGAAGCAGGAGGATTGCTTGAGCCCAGGAATTTCAGGTTGCTATGAGCTATGATGACACCACAGCACTCTAGCCTGGGTGAGAGTGAGACACTGTCTCAAAAAAAGAAATAGTTAAGTGAATGGAGGGAAACCCCTTAGCTAAGCAATGCAGCTTTTCACATAAGGACTGTATACTTGAATAATTCTGAAACGGAAGGAAAATGATAGACATGGGCTGGTTTCAGTTCTTTTCTTGCTGTGTGTGACCCAAAGCCTAGGTCTCAGCCTCCCTGTGTATAAAGTAACAGTTGCTTGGACCAGATAAAATTTTCTTTTCTTTCTTTTTTTTTTTTTTTTTTTTTTGACAGAGCCTCAAGCTGTTGCCCTGGGTAGAGTGCCGTGGCATATCTCACAGCAACCTCCAACTCCTGGGCTCAAGCCAGTCTCCTGCCTCCGCCTCCCAAATTGCTGGGACCACAGGCACCCACCACAATGCCTGGCTATTTTTTTTCCGATTATAGCCATCATTGTTGTTTGGCGGGCCCGGGCTGGATTCAAACCCGCCACCTTAGGTGTATGTGGCTAGCGCCTTAGCCACTTGAGCCACAGGCGCTGAGCCTAAAATTTTCTTTAAGAGTAATAGAACCTGGCTCTGTGCCCTTAGCACAGTGGTTAAGGTGCCAGCCACATACACCAAGGCTGGCAGGTTCGAACCTGCCTGGGCCAGCTAAACAACAATGACAAACATAACAAAAAAAAAAAAGCCGACCGTAATGGTGGGCGCCTATAGTCCCAGCTACTTGGGAAGCTGAAGCAAGAGAATCACTTAAGCTCAAGAGTGAGAGATTGCTGTGAGCTATGATGCCACAGCACTCTACCAGGGGTGGCAAAGTGAGACTCTGTCTCAGGAAAAAAAAAAAAAGTAATAGAACCTCTAGAGAATTAAAACAAAACCTTATGCAAATCTAAAACATGCCAGCTGAAAATGAAACCCTGTGAGGAAATGGTGTTACCTCTAATCACTTCTGTGGGAGATAGGGAAATGAGCAAGTGGGGAGGGGGAGGAGGAAGGGGGATGGGGGTCACGGTGTATGGCACACCTCTTGGGGGTGGGACACAGTTATAAAGGGGACTTTATCTAACAAATGCAATCAGTGCAATGTAATCTTTGTACCCTCAATGAATCCCAAACAATAAAAAAAAATGAATACATACAAAAGAAAATAAAAATAAAAATAAAATACTTCTATAAAAGTATTTTACAGTTTGAAACCCTCTAAGGGCCTCTCTAGTTCTGACAGCACCCTTCTCCCCAACCCATCCACATCACACATAAAGTGGTAAAGAAAAAGTAAAATGAGACTCAGCGCCTGTGGCTCAAGTGGCTAAGGCGCCAGTCACATACACCTAAGGTGGCGGGTTCAAATCCAGCCCCGGGCCTGCCAAACAACAATGACGGGTGCAACCAAAAAATAGCCGGGTGTTCTGGTGGGCGCCTGTGGTCCTAGCTACTTGGGAGGTGGAGGCAGGAGACTCGCTTGAGCCCAGGAGTTGGAGATTGCTGTGAGCTGTGATGCCACAGCACTCTACCCAAGAGGACAGCTTGAGGCTCTGTCTCAAAAAAAAAAAAAAAAGCCCAGGCCATGGTCAGGGCTAAGAGGGCCCCAAAGTCACCTGGGGATATATTCCCAGGGAACCCCAATTCAAGACACAGGAGAAGGCCGGGTACAGTGGTTCACACCTATAATCCCAACACTGGAAGGCCCAGGCAGGTGGGTTGCATGAGCTCAAGATTTCCAGACCAGCCTGAGCAAAAGTAAGACCCTGTCTCTAAAATTAGCCAGGCACTGTGGTAGGTTCCTATAGTCCCAGCCTATTGGGAGGCTGAGGCAAGAGGATTACGTGAACCCAAGAGTTTGAGGTTGCTGTGAGCTATGAGGCCACAGCATTCTACCAAGGGCAAGAAAGTGAGACTTTGTCTGGAAAAAAAAAAGACACAGGAGAGATTGTCATCTGTCCTGGATAGCAGCAGGACACGGACAGTTGGCACAGGGCTCTTTCCGTATCTCAAGCAAGATCCCTGAACTGGCTGGTTCCCAGCAGACAGAAGTTACCCAGCATGGGCCTGGGGCATCCACACACCAGGCTGGTTCATCCAGACTGGCCCTCAGCCACAGCTTGTTCCCTCTAACAAGACCCTATAACAGTGGTTCTCAACCTTCCTAATGCCTCCTATGCCACAACCCTTTAATATAGTTCCTCATATTGTGGTGACCCCCAACCATAAAATTTTTGTTGCTACTTCATAACTGTAACTTTGCTGCTGTTATGAATCGTAATGTAAATATCTGATATGCAGGATGTATTTTCATTGTTACAAAGGGGTCACAACCCATAGGTTGAGAACCCCTTGAGCTCTTACTTGAGGCCACACATTTAACCTCTCTAGGGCTCAGTATCCTCTTCTATCATCTGAAGATACCTTGTGCCCCACCTACTGAAGGGTCAATGAAGGTTTAACGACAGACAACACTAACAAATCAGAATAGCCCTTTACAATTTGCAAGGTTATTTCACATTTTATTTTTCATGGACTCATCACTCCAACCCAAGGAAGTATCACTGTACCCATTACACAGGGGAGGAAACCAAGACTCATCGAAAGTGTCTAAGTCGGCTCGGCGCCTGTGGCTCAATCGGCTAAGGCGCCAGCCACATACACCTAAGGTGGCGGGTTCGAATCCCCAGCCCGGGCCTGCCAAACAACAATGATGGCTGCAACCAAAAAATGGCCGGGCGTTGTGGCGGGTGCCTGTGGTCCCAGCTACTTGGGAGGCTGAGGCAGGAGACTCGCTTGAGCCCAGGAGTTGGAGGTTGCTGTGAGCGTGATGTCATGGCACTCTACCCAGGAGGACAGCTTGAGGCTCCGTCTCAAAAAAAAAAAAAAAAAAAAAAAAGTGTCTAAGTCAAGGTCATAAAGCTGCCAAGTGACAGAGCAAGGGGAGGTGAAGCCAACCCAATTCTAAAGAGCCTCCAGACTTTCAAGTGAAATTAACTTTTAATGATTAACCCTCAGATGCCAAACCCAGGCTATGAAAGTGCTTTGAAAATTCAGTGAGAAAGGCTTAAGGCAAGGGAATAACTCAAGGCCTATTCTTTAGAAGCCTTTGATATGAAATTCTTTCTGCTCCCCTGGCAACCAGGCTACCAGGTCAAGGCCATCCCTTAAGGGAGGTGTAGTCCTTGAATGCCTCAGGGCAACCTGAGTGGGCACAAGGAAGGCGAGAAGCTTCCCTGCCTGCAGACATTGCCCCATACTGAGCCCCCTTTCCCCAGCCTTACCTGCCAGAACCTCTGTTCTCTCAAAGATGTTGCCGTCCTGTGCAGTGCTGGACATGGACACCTTGTTGGACACATCTTCATCCCCATCAAAAGGCGAGATTCTCTTGGGGATAACCTCATTCTCCTCCAGTTCCTTAGGTTCAATGGGGACCCGGCTCCCAGGCCCTGCCCCCTCAGGGATATGGTTATCTAGAGGTATCTGGATGGGAGGAAGGAAAAGAGACACTCAGTGTATTTGGGGAGGAATCAGGGTGGGGCACGGGGACATTCAGCTGGGCAGACAATCCAATTCTGCCATCTTGGGCTGAACCACATGGTCCTAGAACAGGAGTTGGCAACAACCTCTCCACAATTATGCTGCCAAAATCCTTATCCTCAATTTTTCCAGTGTTATCTATTCCAAATAGGAGATGACTATTCAGGACCAAGGGCATGGGGAAACAGGTGTTCCTACGCTCTGCTGGCCCGTGCCCATTCTAGAGTAACCACTCTGGAGGCAATTTGGCAAAAACTTAGACATTGCTTGCCCTTGGAGGCAGAGATTTTGCCTTGGGGACTCTATCCTAAGGAGATAATCAGAGATTGTGTGTAAACAGTGTTCTAATTTCACGATATCAATAAGGGGAATCAGGTGAACTATTACCCGGCCTATGAAAACGACAAGAACATTTAATTATGCAGGGAAGGCTCGGCGCCTATAGCTCAACTGGCTAAGGCGCCAGCCACGTACACCTAAGGTGGCAGGTTCGAATTCCCAGCCCGGGCCAGCCAAACAACAATGACGGCTGCAACCAAAAAATAGCCAGGCGTTGTGGCGGGCGCCTGTGGTCCCAGCTACTTGGGAGGCGGAGGCAGGAGACTCGCTGGAGCCCAGGAGTTGGAGGTTGCTGTGAGCTGTAATGCCACGGCACTCTACCCAGGGGGACAGCTTGAGGCTCTGTCTCAAAAAAAAAAAAAAAAAAAAAAAAAATTATGCAGGGAAATACTCGTGATCAATCTAAGTGAAAAATGCAGCAGACAGAACTGTATTATTTGATATAGATGCTGGAAAATAAACGCAGAGAAAAGGAGTTGGTATTTAGAGTGAATATTCCTGCAGAGAGGAGGGGCTACATGCAGTCCACAGTAGCCTGTCCCTGAATAAGCCCAAGGCCACAGGCTAAAACAAGCCTTCTGGCAGAGTGGGGTTGGACCCTTCACTTATTCTGCCCAAAGAGGCTGTATTTTCACTCTTCCCAACATGTGTGCGATAGTGGAGCAAGGGTGTGGGGAGGCAAATAGAAGCAGCTACTTACCAGGGATTGGATCACTTCAGGGAAGCCCTTGGGGTCCTCGGAGTCACCTGTAAGGTCAGAATGGTTATCTGAGTGTGAGGTCCATTACCCCAGGTAAACAACCCCTTCAGTCACAGCTGGTGGAAGTGCTAATCTTATAGCCAGCCCCCAAATGCTCAATGTTCAGCAAGTGGGCATTCCGACCCCAACCTATGTCCCCCCATCTATAAAATGGTACTGCTAAGACCTGCCTCCCTGGAATGTGTGGGCTGGGAGCTGGACATATGCTGTTAGCTCCAAATCTTTGTTCTGTAAAGCGTGGGTCCAGAAACCAACAGCCACCCCTGACAGCTGGTTAGAGATGAAGAATTTCAGTGCAATTGAATCAGAACTGGCATTTCGATAAGATCCCCAGGGAATTAAAGTTTGAGAAAGAAGACCCCAATTGTAATACATCATTTTACTGGGTAACTGTGTGAGATGATGGAGAAATTTGCTCCACTATAGTAACCTTTACTGTCTCTATATACGTTAGAACATCATGCTGTATACCTTAAATATACACGATAAAATTTATTTTTAAACTAACAACCCCAAACGCACATTTACTGAGTGCTTGGTATGTGCCAAGAGCTTTACTTCAGTTTGTCCCCACAACATTGATATTCCATCATTATTAGTCCCATTTTACAGATTAGGAAACTGAACCTCAGAAGTCACACGGAGTGGAGGTTCGAACTCAGGACTGTGTAATTCTAAAACTCAAACTTCGAATCATTAACACATCCCTGCACATAGAAGGGATGCTATCTGGCCTGGAACCCAGGCCCAGGGAATCAAAGAAGACCGTGAGAGCCCCAGGTCCCTGGTCCAGTGCCAAGAGGCCTCTGTTCCTTCACCTACCTGACAACCCACTGAAACAGGAGCTTGTTCTTGGTTACCTCAAAAACATCTCTGCCCATATATGCCCTCTCCCATCCCACCCTCACTTCTGAGCTAGAATTTTTTCCTTTTCAAATGAAGGAACACACTCCCTGAGTCTTCCTTCCTCACCCACCCCCAGTCCACTATGTCCCCCTACCAAAGGGAGGAGCCTACCTCTGACAGGTTCAGGCTGCTGCTCAGAAAACCCAGAACTACAAGTGAATTCAAAGCAGCAAATGACCTGCCCCTCAGGGGCTCAGGCATGGAAAAGGTTAAACCAGTGACTTTTGTCCCCCCCCCTGTATTGTCAAGGGGAAGAAGGACTCTGTAGGAAAATTCCCCACAAAATCCAAGTCCCCAGGCATGGCTACCCTTCTGCTTGGGGGAGGCCACCATCCCCTCCAGCCTGCCCGCCATGCCCTCTGTACCCAGGTCTCCAGAGCCGGACAGCTCAAAGTCATCTTGCCCGGGCCTCCCAATATCCTCATCATCTGGTAGGGCTCCCGAGTAGTAGCGGCCTTCCAGGAGGTCCTGGGGGTCGATGACCTCAGTCTCCCGGATCTAGGATAAAGAAAGGAGACAAATAAGCCGACATCCCTCGTGCTCAACAGCTGCTCACACCTCAAAACCCAGTAAAGTGGGTATTCAGGCCCAGAAGGGGACCAGGCCAAGGCTGGAGACCTGGGTCCTGGATCCCGCAATGCCCTAACTTGCTGTGTGTCCTTAGGCAAGTCTCTTTCCCACTCTGAGCAAATAAAAATAGTAAAGGTGGTAATAATCACATGATTACTATTACTAGATACTACTTCCTGAGCGCTTGCCATGTGCCAGCCCCTATTCTTAATAACTCCAAAGGCATGATATTAACTTATTCTACATCCGAGGAAATCATTTTCTTTTGATGACACAACTGGCAGATAAAGGAGTGAGGATTGCACATAGAGCTGCCGGACTACAGGGCCGGCAGCCCCCCTGCACACAGGCCAGCCCCTGGACACTGTCCTCCAGGGTTCTCTGATGCAATGGCAGCTGAGTCACTTGTGGCAGAGAGTAGGCTGCTGGCTCTGTCTTGCCCAGTCCTGGATACCTCTCCCAGCTGAGTCAGACTGGGCTAGGGCAGGCAGACTGGCTCACTCACACCCCAAGACAGCCTCAAGTCAGGGTGCTGCCCAGACCTGGTGACTCAAGAGCACACTCCGGGATTCAGTCAGGCCTTCCAGACATCTCCCACAGATCTACTCTACTGCCAGCACCGTGCTGGGCACCGAGAGGTACAATCCCTGCCCTCACAGACATTCACTCCAGCACGTAAGTGTCACTCTGTCACTCCTACCCAAGGGAGACCTTGCTGGTCACAGCAGAGTCGTAGGTCCACCTCCTCCAAGCAGCTTTCAAAAAGAAAGTATCAAAGGTCCAGGGAGGTAAAGAACTTTCCCAGAGCCCCACAGTACACCAGTTATTCTGCTCCGGCCCCATAGCTCAGCAGAGTGGGAAACCAGGCTCCCTCACAGGTTCAGAAAACAAGAATACACCCACCATACTTTCTCCAACTCCTGGGCTCAGAGTCTGTCTGCCCACAGACCAGCAGCCCTGGGCAAGGTTTACATTTCATTAAGTAATACAAACATTAAAGTGCCTACTGTTTCCCAGAAGACTGGGTGTTTGTTTTTATTAACTTCAATACACCCCCTCACCCTGCCACAGGAAAGCCTCATCTTATCCAGACTTCACAACTGCAGGAGGTAGGGGTCTGCTTAGAACCACAAAATACCAGCTGAAGACGGGGAAGCTCCTGCCCTCCCCTTTCACAGGATTTGGGGGAAGTTGAGCCTGGAACAGGGCAGTGACTTGCCCAAGGTCACACAGTGAGTTTGCTACATAGCTCAGAGTGGAAAGAGGCCAGTTCTCGGTTTCTAACTTCCCCTGGCCGTCCTTTACCTGGCTGGGGCTGCCAGTGACTCGAGGGTGGTGGTGGGTGTCTGAGAAGGCTATTGTGGGTGCAGATGCAGGAGAGGGTCCCTAAGACCAGGCTATTGTGGATACAGGTGCAGGAGAGGCTGGGTTCCTCCTATATTCTCTCCTCACTGGGCTTCCGGGAGAAGCAGGGCACCTGACTCTGCCCTCTCTTCCACCCTCGGGGACAGGATGCCGGATTCCAGGAAGGCAGCAGGGCCAGGCATCACTCTCTCCCCGGGGGCGGGGGAAATCTCCGCTGAAAGCCTGGCACACGCGGGGGTGGGAAGCCAGAAGGGGTTAAGCCCTGGTTAGGGATGACTTCATGACTCCGGAATCAGGAGCTGCTGAGCCACTGCCGCTGGAATTCCAGCCCCCGCACACAGCCTGTGCCTGTGGCTTTGGTTTGGCAAAGCAGGAGAAAGGCTCCCGTGTGGTTGCACAAGTGCCTACACCTAGGGTGGGGTCCCTGGGCTCCTACCCCCAACTCCGGCGTGGGGCCCAGAATCTGAAGCAGCAAGACCTCCAGTGCTCCAAGTGAGAGGCCTCATGAAGCACAGAGCCTGTTGTATCAAAGTCCTCTTA